AAAAAAAATATTATTTAAATAAACACTAATATTTTTTTCAAAACCTTTTTTTTTGTTCATAGGGCACAACAAAAAAAAAAACCAAAATAATTTTTTTTTTTTTTTTTTTTTTTTTTTTTTTTTTTTTTTTATACAAATAATATGATAGTAATGTTAGTCACCCATCAGTTTTAATATTGGAAAAATTCAAGAGACAACAAACTTCTCATTGATCTTCTTTCCCTCTTATTCAACGACAGATATCGAATGAAATCGATTGTTCTATGATCTGATTACAATCACTCTATGCTTTTGAGATTCAATATGTATTTCATTTGACAGATATAATAAATAGCAAAAGACACATTCTCCAATTAAAATGATTAACATCCGTTGTAACTCTAAGAGAATATAATAATGAAAATTATATTATGAATATTTTTATTAATTCTTTTTTTGAGATGAACATCTATTTTCTATGTTATGACTAATCGAAACTATAATGATTAACATATCATTTTTAATGTAAATTATAATTATACTCTCTCTCTTTCTCTCTTATTTTCCCTTTTATTTTCCCTTTTTAACAAATTATATTCATGAGATTTAGATTTTGTTTAAAAAAAAAAAGAAAGACGCCAAATATGTCTGATTGCTTAGAGTCAATTAATTGCTTTTCTTTACTCATAGTCGCAGGAAAATCTTTAGTTATTGTTAGTTACCGAAAAAAAAAGAAAATCAAAAAATAAGAGGATCAAGTTGCTCGAGTACATGCTTGAGAAGAAAAAAAATCAGAATTTTTCTTTGTCAATTCCATAATGAACGGTATTTTTTCTTATACTTTTATTCTTAAATGAATGATTCAAAAGTTAAAAGAAATCTGGGTTTAAATTAAAAAATATTAATTCAGTATATAACTAGATTCTATTAAGTTCAAATACATATATACATACATATCTCAAGTTTACAGAACATTAAATCATTTTCTGCTGAATGTAAACATCATACTATTTATCAGAAAAAGAGGTGTTTGTTTATCGAGATGTTAAACCCAACAATAGGGATAGATTAGTCATTTTCATAGTAAGTACTCTCCATAATGAAATACTAAATCAAAAATTGATTGCAATTTATTTTCTATTAAATATAGTTTGCTTTTTAATTCTATTCATATTATTTGAAATAGAAATCAGAGGAGTATGCTTATATATTTTTAATTATAGATATAAAGATATACAAAGTTAATTCTTACCCGTTCCAGGTAAAATAATATTCAATATAAAACAGATGAATGCTAATTGACGTGGCATCGCCGGACAAGCCCGTCGAAATGGTCCATGTTTTACTTTACTAACACTAACCGACGTACGCATATTGGATGATAATGAAACGTGACTTCGTCGTGGAATTTTATTTGGTTCAGGTGTTAATGATCGTTTTTCTCCTTCGACAACAATCTGCTGTTGTTGATTATACTTTTTGGAAGGATCACGATACGAATTTGTAAGATCTTTCATTTTTCTGATATAAAAAAAATCAACAGTTCATAATCATAATAAATATCGTCATTATTTGTGATCTAAAAAAAACTAAACTTTTTTTTTTTTGTATATTAAAAACTTTTAGTATCTAGACGTACATAACTCTTGATAGATGTATTTTAAAGATTCTAATCCATTTTTATTTTCACATCAAACCTAATCAAGAATTTTATACGTACTCAATAAATGTTCTATCATTATTAAAAGAGGAGAAAAAAATAAATATATAGTGGAACCTACTATGCGATTTCTTTGTCCTGTTCTACTCTGCTCTTGATACTATTATTCAAGACAGTTAAATTTTTTTGTTCGCTATTCTAAAGAAGAAGAAAAAAGAAAAACATAGCAAAAAGTAGACAGAGAAAGAGAAAGAAAGAGAGAACAAGAGAGAGTGAGAGAGAGAGAGAGAACGAGAGCGACTGAGAGAGAGAGAGAGAGAGAGAGAGAGGGATAGAAAGAGAAATTCTCTAAAAGCTTCTACCTCAGCATGACACACGTGGAAAAAAAATTATCTAAGAACTGTACAGAATATGGAGATATTCTCTTTCTTAGGCGCTTATGTGTATATTAGTATTTTACTTTTTATCCATGTATTTTGTTTCTGCTGTAATTGGCAAGAACGAGTAGCAGGCCGACAAACAAAAACAACAAGTAAATCGGAGTAGAACAACCGAGACATACATACACATGTTATATCATCACTAGACAAAAAAATATTTCTGTTATTTCCCTGTTTGTCAACTCTTTTGCTCGTATAAATTACGAAGTTAATAAGATTTAGAAAGAGTATCATCAAATCTCCTATATCCCATCGTATACTGCAAAGCGTTTATGTCATACAGTTGATAGTGCAAAATGTACGGTTGACAATATAATCGATTACTTCTTCTATAAACACAAAACTCGTCCTTCTAGCTTGTCTCAGGAATACGATCAATAACAAACTAACCCGGGATAATGTATTACAGGTGAAGAAATCTTTCTAAAATTCTACTACACAATTTTTACACTATTTCGCGAGTAAGATTGTTTATCACTTCTTACATGATCCACTCAGCTTGCATGCAATCATGTCAAACGTTTTTCAAGTGACATATTCAGTCAAATTGATTAGTTCTTTGCGAGAAATGAAAATAAACTGAACCTTCACAGACTTCATTTTGTGGATAAATTCTAGAGAGAAAGGGAGGAATTAATGATATATTATAATAGAATAGATCGTTGTGAAAAGTCTGCACTAACGTGTATGTATAACTTTATATGCGACACTTCTGTTTTGTGCGAGAAATAAATAAGTAATTCTAGCTAACAAATAGAACTTGAGTTTATCTAACAAAATACCAATCAAATTTTCCCTCTCCCTCCTGAAATTTTTCTCCTTTCTCTCTCGGCATTTTTAAAGTCTCTGTAGTAAACTTTTGTTAATCTGCAAAAATAATGTGAGATATTAGGATATTAGACGAAATAGGGCTATGAAAGACAAGATCAACATTCTTGTCAACGCTTGTGTGAAAAGAAATTATACTCCTAAATTTTTAAAGGATAAAGAGCGGTCATTCATCTGAAAATCCAAAGGACAAAAGTGTATGTTCTTCTAAAGATCTGAAGAGAATAACTTGAGTTTAGCCATATGTCAGCTTCAAACTATATGTTTCTCCTTTTGAAAGCGAATGAAGTTTGAATTTTGTCCTTCTTTCATACATCTAACGTGGATCTAGTTCTATTACTTTTAAAGTAAATGAAGTGATGGATGCATAGTACCAACGAGGCAACATTCCCAAGTGTTACTCTCATTTTTCAATGGGACATATCCTAATTTGTAGAGTTCGAAGAGCTGATTACGATGGCATAAAGCATTTGTCCCCATGGCTTCTGAAGACCCGGTTTTTCAGTTTTTCAGAAGCTCTAAAAATAACCAAACCCTTTGTTACCGAAACATAGTTGTAGCACACACATTTCTGATTCAAACGAGACATCTCCCAGCTCTACACGACCTTTCTTTGCAAAGTTATAGAATTTACAAGAAAATTTTTAAATTAATTTCTTATTTCTGTAGCATTGAGATGACAAATGAACATTTAGGACTTTTCTTGTAAATTCTATAACTTTGCAAAGAAAGGTCGTGTAGAGCTGGGAGATGTCTCGTTTTAATCAGAAATGTGCGCGCTACCATTATGTCTCGATAACAAAGGCTTTGGTTATTTTTAGAGCTTTTTCTCAGAAAACCGGATCTTCAGGAGCCATGGGGATAAATGCTTCATGCCATCGTAATCAGCTCTTGGAGCTCTACAAATTAGAATATGTCTCATTGAAAAGTGATAGTAACACTTGGGGACCTTCGCTCGTAAGCCAGTTTGAAGAACAGACATTTTTAACTCTTTATTCTCTTCTAACATTAGAAGTGGATATACTAATAAAATTAGATATTATACTGTATAAAATAATATTTCCACTATGCGCGAGAAAATGGCTTTCTGCTTACAAATTCTTTCCTCCCCCCCTGTAAAAAAGCAAACGAAAGCTATGCAAACATACAATAAAGGTTTTTTACATACTACTGCTAACCTACACTAACCTGATGAAACGATATGTAGCTAAGCAATTAGGAGACTATGTTAGATATGGGAAAATTCGAGGTAGCACTTTGAAAAAAGAATAACAACCTCTCCTCTAGCCTTGTAGAAGAAGAATTTCAATACTATCACAAAAGACTAGCGCAAAGATAACCGGCATATTCATACAGCAACAAAAAATTAAATGGGAAATTGATTTCAAAAGCCACTCTCCCATTCTGAAAATAAATAAATTCCATTACTTAAACTCTATGATAATTATTCTTCTATTAAAGGTATATTTACGGTAGGTGTATCGTGTGAATGTGCAGCGAAGATCGTCCACATATTATGTCATAACTTTGAATCAGTTGGAACTTCTAGAAAACAGCTTATATGTTCGGTTCTAGTTAGACTATTTCTGTATGTTTTAACGAACTAGATATTTATTTTTATTGCCTTGCTTTATGGTACGACCTTCCGATAAATATACTCTTAGTTTCTTTCATCACTTTCTACCGCTTACAAGAATAAATCAATTTATAAAGGATAAATCATGTATCTAAATAAGTTTATATCAATCTGATTACATCAACCAGATACACTTTCAGCTCTAAGTAATGTGATTCACTGGAAGAAGAAAAGTAGACTTCTAGAACGAGTAGTAACCACCGTGCCAATTTTCGAGAAATACAAGAAATTTCTTTAGAATGTGAAACCCCCTTTTTGTATATTTTATATATACTCTAAACCGAAAACAATTTGATTAATAACCTTTTTTGGGTTAATCTTGTCGCTGTTTTTTTTCAAATTTTTGTATCTGTCAAAGAGTTGTTTAGTGTGTTTACCATTTAGATTAACGAGTATGGCAGAATAAATGTCACTCTTGGTATTTTTTGAAGTATTATTTTATGTTTGATATTATAGACTTAAAGTTTTTATAAAAAAATCCGTCATTTCATTTTCTACAAAAAACAATACCGAACATTTTTTCTATATACTGTAAAAATAAAAATATAGAGTGCTATGGGGGCGAGGGTGAAACAGAGACACCTTTTCACTTTTTCGTCGTGTCTCCATTGTTTCTCGGTCATTGTTAGTCGGAGAAACTTGCTATTAAACATGATGGTAGTGGGAACAGTTTTCTACACATTGAGGTAAAAATCTTCAGAAAATCTTAAGCCGATTTTGAACTAGGTGCAAAATACTGAACGCTCCATAAACGTGTTTTCTTTCCTCTACTCGGAAGAAAAAAAAGACGGACTATTCAAATACAGAGTTTTAACCAATCAAATCCCTGTTCATTACAGATAATTAGCTGCAAAAATATTGCATTTTGTAGCCTAGATCTTTCTCTCTCTACCATATCATTTTGAGCTAATTATCTGTAATGAACAGGGATATGGTTGATTAAAATTCCATGTATTTGAATGGTCCGTCTCTTTTTCGTCCGAATGGGGAAAAGGAAATACTTTCGGAGTGTTCAGTATTTTGGATCTAGTTCAAAAGCGGCTAAAGGTTTTCAGAAGACTTTTGCATCAATGTGTAGAAAATTGTTCCCACTACCATCATGTTTAATAGCAAGTTTCTCCGACCAAAAATGACCGAGAAATGATGAAAACACGACGAAAAAGTGAAAAAGTGTCTCTGTTTTTTCCTCCTACCATAGTACTCTGTAGAAAAAACAATTTTCTAACCAAACACGCAACGAAAAAAATTAGTTTGAATCCATTCTCCTGTAACAAAGTGAAATCGACAGGTGTATTCTAGTGTTTCGAAGTGTCATCATCCTTTTTCGTTATCATCGATTCACGTTAAACATGGTCTCTGACACAAAAGGCGATTTTGTCAAAATTCAATAAAGGGGAAAATTTGATCTTTTTGCCTTGGTACAGGAAAAGAAATGGACTATTGAACTTTGTCTGTTCTAATGTGATAGAAAAAATATTATGCAAGATAAAACAAACTCGATCTCGAAATATTAGATTTTGGCCGAGTTATAAAAATTTTCTTAACTGCTCCAAAACTGTAGTTTGAAAACGATGATTTTTGACAGAATTAATAAAAGAAAAGAAACTTTGTCTCAACCATTTATAGTTATGAAGAGTTTTAAATGCAATGATAGTTGCAGAATTATATAACCATGAAAATATATGACTTTTCACGGGCTATAAAATGTCTATTTCTCTTTTGTATATCCCAAAATGTGGAGAGCTAAAATTGAAAAAATTGTATTTTGGATTAGAAAATTGTCAAGGTTGAAGCTTCGCAATATCTCTTCTATATATTTTTATTTTTACAGTATATAGAAAAATGTTCGGTATTGTTTTTTGTAGAAAATAAAACGTAAAATAATAATTCAAAAAATACTAGGGGCGACATTATTATTTTTCATTGTTCTCTCTAGTTGACATCCATGCAAAA